CCCCCCGGGAGTATTGCGTTATTTGTGACTTCAAAAGATTCCATAACTAATGTAGGATTTGACATTTATGAACGGTCATCCATATTTCAAAGCAGTGTGTATGGTATGCTTATTTATGTACAAGTGCGATTCTTTTTCTCTTTGTTGCTATGATGAGAAGACTGACAACGCCACTCTTTCACTTTTCTTGGTTTACCTTAACTTTATACTACCTCCTGTATATGTTTGGAGCTGTCAATGTATCTTTTCAAACATATGGCAACTTGTACTATGAGTAGCAGATAGATTGAACGTGATTATCTGTGACTCATACGGTCTTGTGAGTTCTTTTTTCATTGTGGAAAGATCGGTCGGTGAATGTTCTCACTGGCAACATTTCCATAATTTCATTTGATTCTCTTCCAAAGTTTAGGTGAACCAGAGATTATCTGAATTAGTCATTCAAAGATTTCTCCTCCCATGTTTAGAGCCTCTTAACAGATCTTGTTTAAAATTTCTTTATATTTCTTTTTTGATTCTCTTCTGCATGGCAATGCTACTTTTTCACCTGTCACAAATCAGCTGTCACCTTATATGTATGGTCAATTTTTTGTGTAACCAATTTAGTTCTTTCTATCTCATGCACAGTTTTCTGTTAAGTAGAAACTGATGCAGGTTCCCAGGGTTGAATTAGATTTGTAGTCTTTATCGTAGTCAACTCTTCTAACTACATACTGGAATTAATTAAAAAATTTCAGGTCCCACGAAGATATGTCTTTGAAGATGATAGACTACATTGTTGATGAGCATGGCATAGATATTGATTCTGACTGTCTGAAGAAAGTGAAGGTCAAATGAAACTTTTATCTCATGATGCGTTTTTACATTAAAATTTGATGCACTCTTAGATCAGATATTCTCTCCCCATAAAGATGCAATCTCAGCACTAAAAAATTTCAGACTAGGATAAGTTGCCCCAAGGTTGTCTTTCTTCATGGCATAATTTACTATGGGTTTGGAATTTTTTCTTGAGCTGTGCCTCATGCTTTCAAAATTATATTATGTAAGACTGACAAATTTCACGTTGTTCATTTAAGTTGCCCCAAGGTTGTCTTTCTTCATGGCATAATTTACTATGGGTTTGGAATTTTTTCTTGAGCTGTGCCTCATGCTTTCAAAATTATATTATGTAAGACTGACAAATTTCACGTTGTTCATTGTTTCAAGATCTTTATTTTCAGTTTGTTGTGGAACTTTATTTTGGATTCAAGGGTAGTTCTCCTTTCCAGCTCCATCTTTGACTTTCCTTTGAATCGTATTTGATCTTTTTTCTTTGAATGATATTAAAACTCTTTTCTTTTCTACACAGGAAATGATAGTTGCTTCTGAGGAAGGTAATTCAGTGGTAAGTATTCTGATGGGAAGATTTGAGTGAATATGTTCCGATGCTAAAATTGCTATGATATGAAAACAGTACTGAATCTTTTTGCTTCATGACTTACTATATAGAGCTCGAAGGAGAAGCAGTTCTTGTATGACATTGTTGCTAATGGGCGAAATGGAATAGATGTTGACAAGTAACTGGCCCCTCCCCTTTTACTTTCTTCAGATGCAACTTAAATTATGCACTTGCAGCTGCATTACATGAATCAATCTTTTTGCAGATTCGATTACATAGAGCGTGACACCAGAGCTTGTGGTCTTGGGTGCAATTTTCAGTTCCAGAGGCACGATCTTCATATTCTATTTGGTCCTTTTCTGTAAAACTGAAGAATTTGTCCCAAACCATTACTAACTATGGAAAAGACAATACTATCTTTTCGTTACTTGCAGGCTACTGGAAACAATGCGTGTTATGGACAATGAAATATGTTATCGCGCGAAGGAATGTTAGTACTCTTGAAACTATTATGTTACATGAAAGAGTAACATCTCCAGATATAGAAACAGTTTTTACGATACCTTTGATGAATTTTGTTAGATCTTACAATCCACAAGCTATTTTCCACACGTGCTGATTTGCATCGTACGGTCTATATGCATCCAAAAGTGAAGGTGCAAAGAATTTCACTTAACTGGGTTCTTTATTTAAAAAAATTTCCACTTTCTACTGCATAAATCTCATTACGAGTGCTTGCTTTCTTTTCTTTTTTCATCTTATAATTTTTAGGCAATAGAGCTCATGGTTGTAGATGCCTTGATAAAAGCCAATGACCATCTTCAAATTGCTTCGTACATTGACGAACCAGCTCAATACTGGATGGTTGGATAATCTTTTCACTGATACAACGCAGAATACCATGCCTGTCTGAACTTTAAACCATCGGTTAATTAATAATGTGCAGTTAGATGATACAATAGTCAAAAGAATTGAAACTTCTACTGATCAAGAGCTAGAGGAATCCAGAAATCTGATTCGTCGAATTCGGAGGAGGGATATATACCAGGTATCTGTTACAAAGGCAGAGAGTCCACAGTCATAATTCTAGTTGGAAAACATCTATAGCTTCAAGTTATTTCCTATTATACATGACCTAACGATCTTGTTATTCTCTTCTCGTTCTTAAAAAGTTGAATGATATCAACTATCAAGCTATTTAAAGCAAGGAAACAATATCTAAAATATTTCTGTATCAATATTCTGACAGTTCTGTAATGAGTTTGCTGTTCCCAAGGAGAAGCTGGAGCATTTCAAGAATGTGACAGCTCAAGATATAGCTTGTTCCCAGGTCCTTCAGATAACTCTAATGGCCTCTTTTGCTTACCTGATAGTAATGAACATTCCCTCATAGAGTAGCTTTTTTGTCCAGAATTCTGATGCTCATTTGAATGAGGAAGATGTCATTGTTACTAATGTCAAAATTGATTTGGCTAGTGGAAGGAATAATCCATTGGAAAGGTAAATTTGAATCTTGGGGTTACTGCTGCTGACGATCTCATGTTTGTGTGATGACTAAACTGCTTTTCTTTTCCTCTGTTCATGTGCTCCATTCTCGTCCAGGATCAGCTTCTTCCAGGTATTATAATATCCTTTGCCTTGTATGCTTTCGAGAAATTGGCACATTAAAATAGATAAACAAATAAATTCTTTCAGGTTTACTTAACTTCTTTCCCTGAACTTACGGAGATGGAAATTTGAGTTAATATGAACAAGTTTTAGTGAATGCTCTTTGTCAATGTGCTCCGACAGTTAGAAATTAACCTTGTAATATAATGGTATTCTTCATGCTAGTCATAGAATATCCTTTGCAACTATCAATTAAATTTGCCTAGATTGCCCAGCGATTTTGTTGAGCTACACTGAACTACTGAAAACACTGATGTGCATCAGTTAAATGGAAGAGGCTGTATAGCACAGAAATTAAACTTCCTTAGTACCTTAGCAGCATAAAGCCCATCGGTTAACTCTGGAAAGTTCTTATCTCTGGTTCTCAAAAGGTCAATTCAAAATCTCATTCCCCTTGAAATGTTGCCGAGAAAAGATGTCACTTTTATATGGCAGTTTTCTTTTTTTGGGGGACATGTCTTATTTTTCCACCCGCTTCTCTAATGTGTTACTGTTTACAGGATTACGATAGCTTTGAGAAATTCCCTATAAAGGATGACCGCATCAGTCACTTGTTGCCTGCATGTTACCAGGATATGATTGTTAGAGTTTATACCAGGAAATCTGAACTGGTCAGTGAGATACAACTAACCTTCCTCTTACTTTGCGCCTATTTTCCTTTCTTCTACCTACTTCTCTGTCTCAAGCACACTTCAAACCTCCATTTCTCTTAGAAGTGGGAAAAGAATCACATTTAAGAGTAAAAAATTATACGAGTACTGTATATGCTTTTGTAATGTTGGTAACATCTTACAGGTAGAAGCTGTTTCTGAAGCATTCGAGAATTTTCAGTTGAAGACTTACGGGAAGAAAACACAAGTACATGCAACTCCTGAAAAGAAGAAACGCCTGAAGTACTAGGATCGATGAAAATGGCTTTTGTTGGCTTCTAGCCAGATGTACATACTCGGTATACACATGAACAGTAGATTCTCATTTTCCTCAGATATGAGAAGGTATAGATGTAAAGTCCATGAATATGGCTAAACTGATATCACTCTGGTTGATCTTGTTAGTCTAGCTGCATGAAGTCTTAGTTGATCCTGCAAGTATAGGTTCTATAATGGCATCGGTATAATGATGTTAGTCACGTGTAAAGAGTAAAAATTGGTACCAATTAAAGGGAACCTCTCGCCAATGGTGCGCATAATGATCCTGTGAATTCTTTTATAAGGTTTGAGTGAATGACCGAATTCACTACTTATATTGCCTATTGCCTATTGCCTATTGCCTATTGCCTATTGCCTATTGCCGATGGGCTTGTAAACCAAAAGTTATCTCAGTGGCAGCCTTGGCCTCAAGTTGTATTAGAGCCCGTTTGGCCAAGCTGCCAAAATCTGCTTATTTTGAAAAGTTCTTTTTTTTCATAAGTACTTTTGAAAAGAACTATTTGTGTTTGGCCAATTCATTTAAGTACTTTTTGCAACATTTGGTAAATAGTTTGTGTTTGGCCAATCATTTCAAAAGTGCTTTTGAGTGTCAAATTACCAAAAAAAATAGTACCAAGGTCGTATAATTGTTTTAAATATAAAAATAAACTTAAATATTTATCGTAAGAGACTTTTATTATTTTTTTATTTTATTTAATTAAAATATAAAACATAAAGTAAAACTTATATATTAAAGATTTAAATCAATTTTACATATATAGTTATGCTAAAGTATATGATATTATCCAGTATAATTACTTATTTTTATATTATGATTTGAATAATTAAAATAACATCATTCAGTGTAAATTAGTAGTCTATCCACAAATTACTATATATTGATAATCCATCATAAAATAATAAGTAAAGTCACTCACACATGATAATACTTCTCAACAATTTCATTTCTACTTCTAGCACGCAATGCTTCCATATTAGTGGGAGACTTGCCTCGCATTTTTAAAGGAATATCAGAAGGGTGATCTCCTTCATCAATCTCTGGGATTCTCTGCAGTAATGTTTTCATTAGCATAATAGTTTGTAACAAACCAGTTTTCCAATACTTCTATTACTTCAACAGTGACAAGAAGTTACAACTCAACTCAAAACTATTACAGGAATTAGAGATACTAAACTTTCTAATTCCTAAACTGAAATACAAAGGATAAAGAAGAAAGGATGAGAAGCTATTGAGAATGGAGAGAATAAGAGAAAGGGAGACGAGGAGAAGCAGACGCTTTTCTTCACAAAAGGCATAACCCCCAATATCACTAATCGTATCCTTTTTAACAGTTCAGTTCTTAGGCCAATACTCAACCCGGATCCCATATAAACCTAGCCCAATTACTTGTTCTCGGCCCAATAGCTCTTCTCAACCCAACAACTATTTTTGTAACATCCTTGTTGCTATCCTTACTGGGTTGGGGCTGATTCATAACAATACCCCCATCCTCAATAAGAACCTTGTCCTCAAGGTTCGAGTCAACAAATCCTTCAACGAAAAACAGTAGTAGACTAAATGTAGCTATATAAACATCCACATGTGTAAAGGCCACTAGTTGGCAAGTTGACTTGCATTCAAAGACAAAACTAGCATTCCCATAGGTGGCAACAATAGTACGGGTAATGATGGTCATTGAAGCAACATCAATGACTAGCACAAACCTTGGTATGTAAGTTGCAGTGGCGAGCTCATCTCTATCACAAGTAGAAATGAAAACAAGAACTCCCTCCATAACAAGGGCAGGTTGTGCCACTAGCATCACCAGCAAAGCAACAAATGGTAAGGCTTCAGAGATTTCAATGCTAGGTATGATGATCTTGCTCAACGAAGGCCACAACGACTTTGCACTATCATATGCGGACTGTTCAGTATCCCATTTAGCTTTCAACATAATCAATGCAGATGTATCTTTGGTGAAACCAATACATCTAAAGTACATAGCTGTATCTTGTGGACCATAGCAACTCATTGATCTAGAAGCAAAATTTCCTTGACAGCCCTTATTATCCCGTATCACTACCCTTAGGTCAATTGTAATTAGTTGTCTGTTAGATTTCCTATTTAAAGTGCTGAAATGCTCCACTATAGACTCAAATACACCCTTAACTTCAAGTTGAAGCTCTAGAGGTTCAAGTATTCCCACACAAGCAGTGGAGTCAATATTGCAATCCCATTTCATATTTCTCAGCAGGTCACCTGGCACACCAGTAAATTTATGGCTATCCGCAGAATGTGACTCAAAAAGGAATGCACCATTAACTCTAATCTCGCAACGTGACTCAACGAGGAAATAAACTCCGTAAAGTGACAAGCCATATTCTGACTTGGTTAAGTAGTGAATAGTTGCTTGAAAATCAACATTATCAACAGAGAGAGGTACATTGTTTATAGACAGATTAGCTATGGCTTTCAAGATTGCCTCAAGAACACCATCGCTGTATTCAAGAATTGGTGCATCCAAAGGGCCTCCTCCAGGATCGAAGATTACAATCACTGCAAAAGTAACTTGAGCTCTCAAATTTACCCCAGTTTGTCCAACTAGAACACCTTGAAAGGCTTGTGCAGTTCCTTCTTTGTGAATTTTTTCCAGTAGCATCTAGAACAACACCAAGATATGGAGAAAAGACTAATGCATCAGCAATGAAGTCAGTTGTTGGCCTAGTAAAATAGCAAGTCCAATAAAGATTATGCAACCGTTGTTTTCCGGGATCCCACACTTGAGTCATAGAGGTCGCATATGCAAAGAAGAAAAATTGCTAGTAGATCCCATCAATAACAGTGTCTCCCCATTCACTGTATAACCTGTTAGAGACTTGGACTTGAAACTTATTCCTGGATCCCACTCACAAAGATCCTCGACAGTTGCGCGAATGGTTATAAAGAAATTAGCACCAGGAGCAATGAAGTCATGCCTCTCGTTGCGAGCAGAAGTTGAATCAATCACGTTGTCGCTTGCTAGACGCAATAGCAAAAGGTGTGAAATTATAAATCCTTTATGACCATTAAACTTTATCGGAAAGTGCCGCAACTGTAAAGAGTTTACGAGAGCAACACGCCATGAGACCGATTTGCATCTGCTTGACGCAGCTGCAACATCAAGAGCTTGAAAGCCACTAGGGTAACCAATAAGCTGGACTTGTCTGAGTAATAAAGACACACACAACTCTACCATATTAAAGCAAGCCCTTAAAACCAGCCCAGCCGCGAAACAACTGTCCACATAACTACATATTAGTAGCCCATTATCCCTTGCACCCTTGCGATGTGCTGAATACAAGTGACAGCTTTTTCGTCGTTTTGCAATCAATAATGTTAAAACAACTTCATTCGAAGCATGCTGCCCAGTGTCAAACCAATTGCAAATCTGTAATACATGTGTCAAGTTCATCGCGAGCTCCCTAAAATCATCCAACACCAAGGTTAAAGAGGGATGTTTGAATAGGCAAGGGAAAAACTCGACAATCTTATCATCTTCATCATCTACTGTGTATGGATGAGAAGTAATGCCACTCCCTCATTCCCCGTGGGTTCGTCAAAGTGAGCAGATAAAATCTCAGAGGAAACATATGTCGCGGTCTCAATAAGCGCCATATTTGCAAAATGGCACTGCTGCTTGGTCTCATTTAGCTCGAGACTTTTATCAAACACTATGTTCGCAATATTCTCGAGCCATTCACCTTCCTTGTCAGCGGATTCCGTTGGTTGTATAGGTACTGAAAAATCAATTTCGGCACATCGAGTGGTTCCCCCAAGCACCTGAGCTAACTGAAAATGGAGCCCCGCTGATTGATCAGCCACTACATCAACCACAATCGGTGGGCCAATGAAGGGTGCATTCGAGTGCACATCATAGGCCTTATGATCGTTTCCAGTGTTGAACACTGATTCTACAATGATTGATGTTGCCGATACTTTAACTTCACCATCCTTGTCATGACGAACACACTCATTTAATGATTCTTTGGCATCACTAGATGAAACAGTTTGTGAGTGAGGCCATTCTCCGTGTGGATTTTCATCGAACATTTGGTACGCCTCGGAGTGTCCGATATCCAAATCAGATGCAAATGCATATGAGATCGGAACAATGCTCATAGCAGGGACAGGAACAGGACACACCTGGGGCTCTGCCATATGCACCGGACTCGTGAAGGTTTGTGTCCTAAAATGCAACTACAGCTTCTCCTTGAAATGGTTCCAATCATAGAATTGTTTGTTTCGATATAGCCAGTCGAACCAAACGAGGGCAGCGCCTTCAAGGTAGAAGTAAGGGAGAGGTAGCCAATGCTCCTCGGAGAAGCCAAGGAAGTGGAAGTATCGCTCAGCTCGACAAACCCATCCCGTTGCATCACCGCTGTTGAATCTATCTAGTATCACCTCGTTCATTGGAGTACGATCGATGAAAGCACCAATGTAACAAACCAGTTTTCCAATACTTCTATTACTTCAACAGTGACAAGAAGTTACACCTCAACTCAAAACTATTACAGGAATTAGAGATACTAAACTGAAATATAAAGGATAGAGAAGAAAGGATGAGAAGCTATTGAGAATGGAGAGAATCAGAGAAAGGGAGACGAGGAGAAGCAGGCGCTTTTCTTCACAATAGGCATAACCCCCAATATCACTAATCATATCCTTTTTAACAGTTCAGTTCTTCGGCCAATACTCAACCCGGATCCCATATAAACCTAGCCCAATTACTTGTTCTCGGCCCAATAGCTCTTCTCAACCCAACAACTATTTTTGTAACATCCTTGTTGCTATCCTTACTGGGTTAGGGCTGATTCATAACATAGTTGAATTCTTTATCGGTAAAAGAGTATTGTAGGATGAAATTATGTACAGCCACGGTAGTTGTAACTAGATGTTTTTGAATGTCAAACTTGAAAGATGGCATTGAGCGTAAAATAAAAATAATTAATTTAAATATATAAAAAAAATTGTAAAAGAAATAGTTAAGTATGTTTAAATTCTAATTCAAAAAGAGTAGCTAATTATTAACAACACATAATGTATAATTTATTTATTTTTAAAAATTTAAATCAAAAAGAAATTAATTATTACCTAACCTTACTAACTTTGTCCTAAAATACCAAGTGACCTATTGTAAGCTTGCCACTGACTAAATATGGATGCATTTTCTTCTTCTTTTAATAATATATAGATAGATTATGCAATGTAATTGTAAATTTATTACCTATTTGTAGGTCATTTTCATAAATCAGATTTGATAACTGTTTTAAAGATTAGGGAACTAATAGCATATAATAGAAGA